TGGTATTCCCCAGCAAGAACTGACATTTATTACGGCCCCATTTCCCATTTCGAAGGGTGTCCTGCCCTGCATAGAAATGCAAGTCAGTAAAGTCCTGGAAAATCCACAAGGATTTGCTTGGTGATAGCTGAAAGCTTTTCCCCCACCTCCAAATGGGTGAGCGAATTTCCCTTTCGGGGATTTTCCACTCCTGCTTGATTGTTGTCAAAGGTCATGAAATATGCAAACAATATACCAAGCACATTGTTTGTTTCCGATCCGATGCGATTAGCTAATCGAAGCGATAAACTCTATATAAAAATCTCAGCTGACCTGTCTTCCATTTTTAATGCCATCGAAGGTCCCTGGCTATTAGTAGATTAATGGTTCGCAGGCTTTTAGTCAAATTGCCAGTGCTGACTTTTCAATTGTCTGGAATTTCGGGTAATGGAAGTAGCTGCAGTTAAATGCTAATCACCAAATTGCCATTTGATTGATAAACTGGCAGACACCCACTCACTGTCGAATGGAAAAGCCACAAATGACCGAAACGGAAGCGTTTCCATAGCCTCGACCTCAAGTCCAGACCGAAACCATAATTAAATATTGCTCACCAGTCTGGGTGCAAAGTCCAAACTGGTTTGAGCAATAATTACTGAAACTTGGCACGAAGCGGCACCACAATTCCGATTTGCAGGGACTGGGTAAAAGGACAACAAGAGTACAGATATACACGTATAAAAAATAAAAATACTCCCAGTGCTAACAAACAATAAAATCAAAGCATTTCCGGTCTATAATGCTATAGATTTTGAAAAAAAATTGCATTCAATACAAGATTTTCAATCAAAACTCAATAATATAATCATCTCAAAAAAACAAGTCCTTTGTTGCAAATAAATGATAATTTACACCTTCATTAGAGAATTCGTAAATTGATTTATAAATTATTTATTTGTGGACTTTTGAATTGAATTTCTAATATTTATAGATTTATAATTTTTTCGAGTGTCTTGTCGACAAGGACAGGAATAGCTCATCATCATTAACACCCGTCCAAGCAATTCCCGTCGTCAACGGCGATGGGATGGAGATTTCGACGCATTCTGCTGGTCGACGGCGGTTGGAGAATTGTTGCTGTGCCAGCATAATAATAAGGCGACCAGGGGAATCGATGACAACGTAAATCAATGCTCTAGCTGAAAGCAATGGCGACTCGAACCAATCATTAATTAATGTCAATCGAGTCGAATTGAAGCGAACTGAAATGAAATTTGGCGACAAACGTTTTCCGCTCGAAATCAACGTAAATGAGCAGGACTGTGGAGCAACTTCGGTTCCGGGAATCTGCGGGCTGCTCCCAGGTACACATTCCCGGCAATCCCTTATTCGGTTGAGATATGTAATTCGGTTAACTTCACAACTGCCAGCCACTTTTCGTTTTCGCATCGCAAACGTGTTCAGCGTGTTGGCAAAGTAAATCCCAAGATTGTTCTGCAAATCGGAAACGGAAACGGACTGAAAGACATGACAACAAGTTTTTGGCAGAGCGAACGTCAACAAATGTCCTGCAATTAATTAACGTCTTAATGTTAACATAGACGAGATGAATAATAAATGGGTTAGGTTGAGAAAGGAAACTGATGGATAAATTCTTGAAAACCTAAGACATGAATATTCCAAACTTACAAACGTTTTTGACTCTCTAAGGGTCGCCCATTTTTTCCTTTTTTTTTGTTTTATTAATATACACATTTTTTTGACTTTGCTTGCAACTCAATTAGTTTTATTTTAAAAAGTCGCTAAGATGTATTTAATATAGTTCTTATTTAAAGAATTTAAACAATTAATCAATAAATACTTTTTTTTATGCCCTTTTTAACAAGTATTAAAGAAAGGGGTTTAACTTGAAGTCAAACACAGGAACAAATTGCATATTCCAAGTTGGCATAATAACCGCATGGACAACAACACGCAACCAATATTAAAATGCATTTTTAATGCACTTTTGCACTTTGTGGTTGCCTCTCCCTCAGACAACTGCAAGTTGACTTTGCTTAAATCAGAAAAAAAGAACAGTAAACAGTGAGGAAAGCGAACAAAAAGGTTTTGTAAATGCAAACAAAAAGCATACGCCCCATATGCCGGCTGACGAAATATTCGCAGCCATTTATCAGGCTGTTGAATGCTCAATGTTCAATACTCGGCAGTGTTGTCAGCAAAAGCAGCAGCATAATTGCAATTTAATGCACTTTTATTGGCATTCAATGGGCTGTAAACTGGGGATGCATCAGCGTCATTAATTAAAAACACTTTGCCTCGCTGCCGGCGTTTAAAAATAAACTTTATTTCCCTCTTTTTTTATCACTCAGTCGCCCAACTAAAACAGGAAACCATCTTTATACGCGCAAAGAGTTGGAAAACGGCCTTGAGGCATGTCAAACAATATCATAAAATTTATTAAAACGTTGAAGCTTTTAATTAGAGAGCTACCTGACTAATCCTGTGTGCCTATCTCTGCTCCTTCCCTGTTGCATTAAAAAGTTATTCCATCATAATAAATCTTTGGGCTTGCGCTGGGTTTGCATAATTAGCCAGCAACTCGGACAACTTAAACTCCCACCTCTGTAGACATTTCCCGGCCATGTCATAATTATGCAAAGAGTGTGAAACTGAAGCTGTAGGAGAAAAAGTTAACTAAACAAACCCTGCCTCATTCTGATGTTGTTGCTGTTGTTGTTGTTGCTGTTGATATCCCCGACTCAACTTTCCCAACATAATTCGTTATTTATGACTTCAATTATGTTGGCCCGTGGCCACACACAAACCCAAAGGTTAAATGGGCGCAGCGAGGCAAAACTTAACCCCGGCTCGAGGCATCACACTTTAACCCTCTGTTGGCCTCCGGGCATCCCACATATTTGTCGTCACCTCAGTTTTCGTGGCGAATGAGTGACCTCCTCTGGAGAAAGTGCGAACGGCCAAGAGATAACATTTAAATTGCCGCTCTGACGAAAGGTTCCACCTTCTTGAATATTCTTATGATAAATTATCCAAGTAAAACACAATGAAAGATTTCCCCAAAGTCGCTTTAAAAAATTATTGGACAAGCCTTAGTCCGAAATTTGACTTTGAATGAATTTGCCACGGAATTTTCAGTTACAATTTTTTAGACTTTTGAAATCGCTATTTTAATAATAAATAAATTGAAAGTTAACGAAGAGTGTTTGTGAATACTATTTTAATCAAATTCCGCTCAAAAATCTATAAATAAAAGAAAATGTAGTGTCATGACCTAAGGAACAAAAAAATTATTCCAAGTTTTTGTAAAGAAATTATAATTAATATTTATTTGCTTAAATTGGCCGGCGCACTTTAACGCTGTAAACCTAAAAAGCTTAAAACTATTATAAAATATATTTATTTTGGAATTTAAAATATCTTTTTTGAGAACATTTCTTTTCTCTGTTGATGATGTGCGAAACAATTTTTTTTGGTTAGATTATGTCAACACAGCTTATGAATTATTTATGCACGTGGCCAGTCTGTCAATGCGTATTAATAACAGAGTTGGTCTGCATTAAAAATATATTATATTTTGTTACAATATTTGCACAGTTAATATAAAAATATTATTAATAAACTTTAATTACCAGGAGGTGCCATTTTTTTTGCATCTGTCATTTAAAATTTATATCGTAAGCGGTAGATAAAAAAAGGCCTTTAAAATGAGTTTCCCCGGGCTGCAAAAAAGTTGAATGTGAAAAATTAAAGGCAAGTTAATCGTCAGCTTAAGCGGCAATTCCATTTAAGCGATGGGAACCAAAGTGGCTAACCTTGGATAAAAACCGGCCACGTCTTCTAAGACTATGCACTATGAATATGCCACTGCAACTTGGACAACTCTCAGCCTTGGGACTCGAGTTTTGAGTTGGTCTGGGAAAACATGTTTCCCACTTATCTCTCGCAGCACATTTGCATGTGAATGAAAACCGAGTCATGGACGCCGACAAATGTTGCATTCAGCTGGTTTTGTTGATTTTGTATTTTGTGAAAAGCGCTTAGTTGCCAAACTGTTTTCTAAGCCTCTCTGGGTGAAGCAACAAATGCACACAGGGCAATTAAATTAAAGACGAAAGGCAAACAGAAGGCACGGCAAAAAGTTGATCTTGCCAGAGTTTGGACAAAGTTTAATTTTAGCTGGAAAGTCCGTCACTCTGCCATTGTCAGCATTATATTTTATGCTTTAATTAACAAAGCATTTCAAACGTGCCAAAAACGTTGACAAACAATTAGCAACGAAAACAATTCTCTTTCGAGAATTTTGGGTCAGCCGGTAAAGACTGAGTCATACCTTATCGCCATATCCGTTCAGCAGATCAGTGCGAAAAGTAAGCAGAAAGCAAAAACACTTTTTTTTGCACATAAACTTTGAAAACTTTAAGCTCGAAGCGGGTTCAAAGACACATATGGGCCAGGCAACCGTTAAAACATAACCGTTAAGCTCTTACTCATGGCCAAGCAATTTCTTTTATGTTCTCGTGGGCAAATAAATAAAAAAAGAAATTGCAAATATAAATAATAACATATTTAGCATACAAATTAGTTTTGCATATTAATTATGCAATTAAACTGCGACGCGCGTATGGAACTATACGGCAAAAAAAAAATAAAACATAAAAAATATATCACATAAAATTTGACCGCGTTAATTGCGTGGGCAGCGAAGCGTGTGGTGGGGCAAAGTGGCGATGTGGCAAATTATTATGATTCTGATTGATGGATTTGTACTTGCATAATTTAAGTACACAAAAAGAAAAAACTACTACTAACGGATATCCAAATTTTTTTAAAACTGTTTTGAGGCTTAACTCGTTTTCATTAAATGCCAATCAAGCACCGTTCAGGATAATTTTTCTTTCTGTGCAGTTCTGTTAGCTGAAAAAAACAAAGTTTAACAAAATTTTTTTATAAAAGGTTATTTTGACTTACTTGTATTTGCTTTAAAATTATTTTCAAATCATAAGGCAGTAAATATATAAAAACAAACACCACACTAAACGGTATTTTAATTTAAAAACATCACAACAAGTTTTTTCACTAGCCCTTTTAAATTGAATTTTCGTCTTACTCCGACAAAAAGTCTTTAAATACCATAACAATTAAAGTTGGCCCATTAACAACAAGCCCTAAGAAACAGACATCCCCCTAAGGATATGTCAACACCAATAGAAATCAATATTCTCCATCTATTTATGTACGAATTCCTGTGCAACACAATTGACAAGAACAATAATTAATTGATTTCGCTTGCCAGCAACATAAAATTAATGTCAGTTTCGTTAACATTTACAAGAAGAGCTTTTCTATTTTTTGGTGGACAGAGGATGCCATTTTGTGAGTTTCAGCCATTTGTCAAATTTCGCATTCACCATTTTCTCTTACTACCCCTAAAGAAATGCCCATAAATTATGAGGCCAAAACCACAGATCAATTTATTTTGTGGCTCGAGACAGGTTCACCATTCCCCAACATCCTGTGAAAATGTCAGCGAAAAGGAAAAACAATTAAAACCCACTCGCAGACACTTTTTATGAGCACCGGCGACGTCTAGCCGCCCGTCATGCTCTCAAATATATATAGCTTTTGAGTTGGCTTTGGCCTTATCTACCTTTGGCCCGGGTGCTGATTTCACTGACGTTTCTGATTTGGCTAAGCGAAATTCCAGCCTGTCTACATAATTTCTCTGCGGTTTGATAAATGTCTCGCAAATCGCTGGCGACACTTGGCGGCCTTCCAGCGTTTATCCTTAAAAAAATAGGCTGCAACAATTTCAAGACAGTTTTTTCTGCGTATATATTAATAACTGTCATTTGGGTGGGCCACTGTCATTGTCTCATCCTCCCCATACACACACACAGTTTCTTTGATATTTTTTTCACTTTACTTAGGAAATTCATATGTCTCTTAAGGTTTCCCCCATTTTTTTTTGCCCAGCACTCTTTTCCATAATTCAACGGGGCGTGGATCCTGGATCCTTTTGCCTAGCTTTAGGTGTGGTTGCAACTTTTGGCGCGTGTATATGAAAATTATGTTAATTTATACTCCGCTTGGCTGCGGATCCTGCTGTTTCCCTCGTTCTCTATCTGGTTTGTAGGCGGATTCCCCGTGGGGCGCCAGCTTGGGTTAACATAATGTTCTAAGGGGTGTTCATAGGGTATGCTCGTATTTGGGTTGGATTTAACGAAGTAAATATATTGATTCTTCAAGACTATTACATTAAAATCAAAAAGCATACATTTAAATATATGAAATAAAAATTTCTTAATTCAGAACAAATTGCCTAATTTAAGAAATAATGGGCTTAACATTACAATGAGCATACAATAAATATTAAAGAAAAAATTATTTCTTAAATTGAAACCTAAAAAATATTAAAGAATTTTGTTTGACACTCAGTGGATCGTCTTAAAATTTACTACTTCTAAGATACTTAAATAGATTTTTAGAATTTAAATAGTTGTTCTGTATTTCTCTTTAATAAAAATAAAATTTATTTGGAAACTGCTATTATCATAAAATTAAAAACTTATAAGCTTATAAAATTTTTTAGAATTGTTTGTGCAGGGTAATATGTACTTTTCGACTCCTCCTTAAGCTTGTTCTACCACGTCTGTTGCTTGCGTGTGCGATTTTTATGCATTAAATTAGGCAACCTTCGTCTGGTTTGGAATATGTTATTTCTGTCTTCTCCAGTTTGGCAGACGCTGTCATCGTCACAATTTGTATAAGCTGCTTAAAGGGTTAAGGCCAGAAAGTGAGTTGCACAGGCAGACGGCCGCATATTAATTTGCCCAGTAACATGTTGCACAACGATGGGGGAATTATATAAATTGCTTGCTGCAATTTTGTATTTGTATTGTTGAATTTATGAGAAATATGGACCGCAATATTTATCACATGTCCAGTGTGCCAACTTAAACGCTCTCTCTTTCTCTTTGCTCAATCGCACATATAGAACATATACTATATTACATACCATTGCGTAATAATCCACAACTTAGCATAAATTTCAACTGGAGAAGTGGATAAAGTTTTGCGGTGCGTTTTGCACTTCTGGTCGGGGCATTAATTATGATAATATTTCTTGGACTTTAATAAGCATTTGGCATTTAAGGGACCCCTCAGATATGCAAACAGCTTGCCCTGGCTTGCCACTTGCCACTTGCCACTCGTCCTCTGCCCTCAGTCGACGTGGACGCCACTTGACTGCATTGTCGGGTAATTACAATAAGACGCTCATAAGCTCATCGAAAAGTGGAGTGCCAAATGCAAGATGCAAATGGCAGAGGAGCGGCCAACCTCATTGTCTCGTTCGCATTAATTAACTGACAGATGGGAATGAATGTCTGCTGGGGAAGTTGTCTTATTTTGTTGTCCTCTGTGGCCGGACTCAAATAAATCTCTGCCGTTTAAATACCCGAACGTCTATGATGATTGTGAAAACAAATGGTGAATGTTTGCGTTGTAAAGCGAAACTCAAATTGGAGCATAAATAATGCAAGTGCTGTGCTGATGACTTGAAAGTGAAAATTTAGCAGCTCTAATATAAATAATTAAATTCGAAATTCGAGTAACTAGCTTATTGATTGAATTGCAAAGCGGCAGGAAATCTAAATATATATTAGATGCAATTTCCTCAGCAACACCATTGTCTAAATTATTCAAATTTGAGTTAATAACTTGACTTCTGACTCATAAGCCAAAATATGATACATATATTTACCTCTGTTAGTTTAACATATTAAATACCGCCCAAAAGACTAGGAATCCTTGATTTGCTTATCACTTTTATTATTGCTTAAATACATTTCTACAAATGTGGCTGAGTAACATACTTTTGTTGCTGCAATTTCCGATGTTTGCACTTGGAAACATAACTACTAGTGACCAGTATCCGGAACCTACATATAGCCATCTAAGTTCCCACCTAGTATCCTTGCGCACTCGTACATTTATTCATACTCCTGGAGATAATCATTTTTGTACTGGAGTGTTGATAAGTAATCGCCATGTTCTCACTTCAGCACATTGCATCACAGAGTGGGTACATCTATATATAAATATTTTAATATCTAATTTCGTATTTTATACTTAGTAAAAAGGGTATGATGATGAACACAAAACGAATTGTGGTGGCCCTTTGCGCGGTTCTTTTCAAAACTTCTGAGATTGAGGAATTTCTAGTTGAAGTTCATAATATGGTTATCTATCCATATTATCATAGAAACAAACGCGATGATATGGGTGTAATAAAGCTAAGAAAAACTATTAAATTCGATGGCCTTCATTTGGCCCAAGTGATTATAGGTAATTCCCAACTGGAAGTGGGAAGAGATTGCAAGACCGTTGGTGGAAACTTTGGCGTTAGAGTGGGTAGCTAGTTTTTTTTTGAAAGCAAAAAACATTCTAAATAAATTTCCTTAGAGGCAAAGATTTGGATCATTTTACAGCATGTTGTTCGTGGATGTTGAACTGCGACCATTTTCCGAGTGTCAGGATGTCAATAAAGTTCTGAGAGAGGCTCAAGCCGAAAACGAAGATCTTATATGTGTAAGACCCCTGCAAAGCCATGTTTGTACCACAGATTTCGGAGGCCCACTATTTTGTGATGGTCAGCTCTATGGGATCGCTTTGGGCTTTGTTAATTGCTCTAGTCCGAATCCGGTTTTCTTCAGTTACGTGCCTTTTTATACCAGCTGGATGAACAAGATGATATCCCAGGGAGTGGAGCTGCAGCCACATCATAAATGGATATTTTCCTTGGCCTTCCTCAACTTTATTTTGGGCAACTTTCACCTACAGCAGCAAGTGGATATCTGAATCTCTCTGAAAAGGAAAAGCTCGCGCCTGCGATTAATAGAAAATTGAGGAAAAGCCCTAGGAAACTTTCGCCTGCAAACGTGTCACGTTCACTTTTTCTCCCAAAAAAAAACCGCATTGACTTTCCTTTTAACTTTAACAACAATATTTTCGGTTATTGCCTAGCACTTTTGCACTTTTTCATTAATCAAGGCGAAAAAGCAACTGCCGAAAAAAGCTTAATAAATTTGTACATAAAAAATGATAAATAATCCCAATAATAAATAGAAAATTGGTCAAGAAAAAAGTAAAAGGCCGCGACACGGCAATTTGATGTAACAACCAATCATTATTAATAGCCACGAAATGCTGGATAAAAACCAACCCGTAAAGGTAAAAAGAAATTGCACACTCGCGTGTGTGTTTGGCCGAAAAGAAAAGCCAGAAGTTAACAATAACAAGTTTGGCGCTGAACTTTTCTTATTCAACTCCCATTGACTTTGAGTTCAAGACTCGCTGTCAGTTTTGCGATGGAAAGACAGCCATAAATCAGTAATAATTATCTTTTTTGGTTGCCCCGCAATTGAATGCAGGTAGCTGGCATTACAAACGCTGATAAATCGATGCTGATAAATTGAAAATTACCAGCCAAGCGATATATAATGGTCGGGATGATAAGCTCACAGATTGCATACAATAAATGTACATGTACTCGTGCATGCAGCATTTGATTTTCCTTTTACAGTGCTGAAATTGCATACCAATTTGTGGTAGACAGCAGCCCAGACATATATGCTGGCCTTGCTTTTATTTCTTTCTCTTTTAAAATCAACAAGATGCTGATTGGGACAGTGGGATCAAATGAGAAAGTCCTTTAAGAAAGTATAAATAAGACATTGAAGTCCAAGGAAATAAATATTAACCACCATAATATTCGAATTAATTGGCAAATAATTGAACCATAATAATATTAAGAAATATCAATAAAAAAACTGAACTAAAAAAAGTCTTGTATATTTGTAAATATTTTCCTTGCGTTCCTCAAACATTTCCAACCTTGCCTATTTTGCCAAAAGTAACAAATAGGTAATTTTAAAAATAAAATAAATAAAATTAACATGTTTAAATATTTCATTGTTTTTATAACACTTCATTCAATATTCCACTGTACTCTGTGCAACTTAACACAACACCCAACCGAAAGTTTTGTTGAAAAATCAAAGTACCCGAACACAAAATTCAAGTAAAAATCACGTTCCAACCAAAAGACGCTAACGTGGCCAAAAAATAGGAAACAATAGCCACAACACGCTGCCTGAGACGTTGCATCGATATGGACTCCCCGACCATAGTTGATTTTTATTGGGAGGAGTGAGGGCATTAAATTAAATCTATTTGTACAATTTATAAAGGGGAAAAGTGAAGTGAAATGATTTCTATGGCTTCACACACACTAGAGGCAAAAAAGAGCACTTAGAGTGCGGGCAGCGTTTCCGCTGAGGCAAGACCACTGAACTGGACAAACGTTCCTCCGAAAACTGCAGACATGGCATCAAATAAAACATGGGGAACAACGGCGGAGGAGAATCCAGTGGGGATCTGTAAATCCAACCCAGAGGACGGCAATGGTCCACCGAAAATTTCGCCGGCGAAAAAAGCTAAATAAATAAATATCTCCAGTATGGGGGGAATGGATAAAAAATAGATTTGTGCTGTGAATAAACACATGGATATGGAGCGTATGTCCACGCCAGAGGAGAATGCGTGAGCAAGTCACTCGTGAATAAAATTAATGTTGTACATATTTAAAACTAAGCTAATTCATGATTTCAATTCTTATATATAAAAAGCTTAGAATAAGTTGATTTTCATTTTTTTAGCCTTGACAATTTTACTTCTTGGTCTCACATCTAATAAAATTTGTTCCAAATCTTAGTCCGATCATTTAAATATTTAACTTAATGTTTGTTTTTGACATATTTGCATTGCAACACCCAAATTTCATATCACGCGCTCATCTCTTTTCAATGCAACGTCTCGAATGCCGGCGTTTGTTTTCATAGCTGTGAATGTGACATTGTCCAACTTCAACTTCCTCGTTTTCCTCTTTTTTTTTTTGGTATTGCACTTTTTCGGAACCCGAGCCACAGTTTGTTGCAATCCCCGTTTTTATTTGTGGGGGAAAGTGTGAAACGATTTTTGCTGACTCTGGACTCCGAACCTCCGAACTCTGGACTCTGGAATCCAAGCTGCAGAAAAACTTCTCGACGAGATTTCAAGCGACCCTTTGCCGACATCTAAGTGGTTTTATAGGGTCCACAAATTCCAGTATGAATACAGAAATGAAACAAAAAGAGTGGGCGTCACATAAAAATATCACAGGCAGCAAATACAAGGAGTCTGCAAAAAAAAAAATCACTCACAACTCAATTGTTAAAAGTTAAGCGACATCTCATGGGGCGGTTGAAAAGTTTCGCATTACACGGCCAGCTGGCTGACCCGATTTTTAAAGTCGAATGCAAATGCTGTTGTTTTCTTTTTTTCCGCACGTTTCCGGCTGACCAAACAAAACTTCACTCAGCCAGTCAGTCATCCAAAAGCCAAAAAGCGCAACGGCATCGAGCGGAGAAATCAATTCACTTTTGGCCAGCTGCATTTCGAGGTTCTTTCACAGCTGCCCCCCGTTTTTGTACCTCTTATCCCAATGAGTTTTGAGATTGCCGTTGTTTATCTTGCCCCGCCTCTCATGTTAATGGTGCAATTTGCAATTTTGCGGCTTTCATTTACAGAAATTAGACGGCAATTTAGGAAAACGTTAGCCGTCATTAAACGAAAAAAATAAATACGATTGAAGTAGTCGGCTACCAACACAGCTATCAAGTCCTGGAAAGTTTCATGATTGATTTGAAATAAGAGAACCTCTCACTTTGATGTGTACATAAATTCTACAAAATACGTGCTTATGTTTATATTAAGATGAGAATGAACAGAATTTAATCAACTGTTGAACATTAGACTTTAATCTTTAAAGGAATCTTAAACGTAATTTAATCCCTTAAACAAAACCCAAGCAAACAAATTTAAGTAAAATTGTTTGTCAAAATCCGAGTAATACGGAGTCAAAATATCATTAGAATTAGCCTTCTCCAACTGTTTGCCCCACCCAACTGACATAGCCAAAGTCAGGCAAACAAACAAGAAAATAAGGAGAAAGCTCCACTTGTGCTCAAACGTTTAATGGCGAACTTAGAAAATTACTCAAATGTCTTAATTGGCAAATAGTAAATGCTAAAAAAGAATGGCAAGCAACTGCAATTGGGAGAACTTTTCGCAAAACTTTTTCAACAGCGGCAATGGGAGTGGGAAAACATTTCCACACAAAAGCGAAAAGAAACAAAAAAAAAAAAAACAAGCGAATAACTTAATTGAAACTTAATGAGAAAATGCAGCCGCATTGTTTGCACTGGCAAATGAAAAACAAGCTGAGATCTCCGGGTATGCGATGCGTATCTTAAAGATGCAAACGTGCAGGTGTCTGTCTGCTAAATGCGACAGTCATTTGCCTGATTGCCGAGACATTAGGACAGCGTGTCGAGTGTTGCATGGAACGTGCCGTTTTATTTTTTTTTTTTTTTTTTGCTGATTTTCTGGCGAAACACAAAGACCCGGGTTATGCGATACCAGATACTGGATACTTAATACTAGATACTTAAGTGAATTGCACAAGAGCCCCAACATAATCGCCTCTTTTGTTTGCATTTATCTTTCAGATGCGCTCACCTGGGCCCAGTTGAATGTGGAGCCCAACACAGCGCTCCTCAACGAAGGCGACCGCACCGAGCTGCTGTGCCGCTACGGCAGATCCATCAACTACTGCCGCATCGAGATCCCCGGCGAGCAGAAGGTCCTCAACTTATCGCCGGAGTGGAGCAAGACCCCCGGATTCACGTACTTCGGAGCGGGTCTCACAGCCGGACAGTGCGGTGTCAGCATCGAGCGGGTGAAGGCCACAAACAATGGCCAGGTCAAGTGCAGTCTGGGCGTCGAGGGAGAGGAGCTGTCGGGCACCATTGACCTGGTGGTGGCATGTAAGTAAACAAAATAAAGATACATAAAATATATTAATATTTACCCACAAGTTTTAAAGAAACATTACAAGTCCCAAACAATTTTTAAGCAATATACAAATTAAGAAAAATCTATCATAAAATTAATTGGTCCAATTTTATTTTATTAAAAACTCTGATAGTGAATTTAAAATTATGTTTCGTAAAACAACACTTTTTAGTGACACAATTTTTAAAATTAATTCTTTTTTTGTCCCAATTTTAGTGCGTCCCCAGCAGCCCATCATCGAGCTGCTGTCGCGGCCAAATCGCGAGGGTTACTTTAACGAGGGAACCGAGTTCAAGGCCCGCTGCAGCGTTCGTGATGGTCGCCCGCCGGCGAACATCTCGTGGTACATTGACAACATGCCGGCCAACAAGCGCACCACTCCCCTGGAGGTCATGTCCTCCACCAGCGAAAACGTGGAGCTGTCGACCTCCGTGCAGGAAATCCAATGGCACCTGTCGCCCGAGGACAGCAACCGGAAGCTGGTCTGCCGCTCGCACCACCAAACCGATCGCGAAAGTGTCCCGCCCCAGGAGGCCGCCTACATCATCAACGTACGATGTGAGTACTCGTAATTAACTTCTAATTTGATGATTTTTGAAAATTTATAAGCAAGAGCATTATAGTAACTTGAATTCTTTATTTCTTAACAACAAGCTGGCTTTTACATTAATTTAATTAAAAAAAGGTTAAATCTAGCTTAATTATAAAACTAGTTTAAGTACAATAGCTTGGTCATAAGATAATATAGTTAAGTTTCATTCAACCAGCTTTATAACATTTTTTAATAGGGACTTTTGAATTTTTTATTGAGGTCCCAAATTATGCTACCTTGGGTACTAAAAAAATCTCTTCCAATTAATTTTTTTAAGTTTTAAGTAATTAAAAAAACTTTAAATCTTGCGGATGGAAAATAACATTCATTTTAAAATGATACATGATATCATTAATTTTAATTCGACAAGCCTAAGGTCATTTTTGTAGGACAATACGGATTGTTTGATTTTTTTTTTTTAATTGAGATTCTGGGTACTATTAAAATCTGAGCCAATTAAATTTCAACGGAATTCAGATTTAAGATGTCTGTTGCTGACCCTAGTATTTCTGTTATATTTATCCCTGTTATAATAAATTTTTCCCTTCAGATGCCCCCGTCCATCAGCCCGATGCCGCCGTTTACGGCCTGTATCTGGAGCACACTGCCATTGTGAACATCACCATCCGAGCCAGTCCGCAGCCCAAGATTGAATGGACCATCGATGGAGCGGTTGTGGGACAGGGTCGCACCGACGGACGCTACTCGGCCTATGAGCCGCAGTATCTGGGCAACGACGAGTACAACGTGACTTTGGCCATTGCCGGCCTGACTCTGGAGGACACCACGAAAATCTACAATCTGAGGGCCAGCAACGAACTGGGACTGACGGACTACCAGGTGCGAATCAGTTCGTCGAGCAAACCGCCCAGCAGCAGCCTCGATGTGGCCGCAATTGTTGGCATTGTGGTGGCCGTTGCCGTTTTGGTCCTGGTCGTTCTACTGATTGTGTTTGCACGAGCCACTGGCCGATGGTGTTTTGGCGGTAAGTCGGAAATGTTTTTTTTAAATCTCCATACACACATTATTGCTTATTTCGTGGATGAAACATTGTCATTAGCTTCTTGGCCACATGAACAGCAACAACAACATCATCATCATCATGATCATCCACCGCCACTATTGTCTCATCATCAGCTATGCTAACAATAATTTCTGGCTTTAGGTTCTCCACCCAAACCACTCAATTCCACCCACCATCACCACCATCACAACCATTTCTCCCCATCCACAACTCATCCTGCAATTCATATATGTACTCGGGTTTTTGGGGCCTGTGAGCTGGGCTCTTCTGCCACCAGCCGTTGTTAACTTTCGACACATTGTGCGGCTTTTAAATTTTAATTAGCGTTAACCTAGCAGAAGGAGCTGCTAAAGGGCCGGATGAACGCAGCAGCCCTAGAAAACTCATCTAATTAAAAAAAAATTCACTTGACTTTGCCGTCGGAGTTTCTGTGAAAAAAAATATTCTTGCAAAAGAATGTGGTAGGGCCCAAAATTGAAATATGGAACATATGAAAGAGAAAATGAAAAAACAACTAGGACTTTTTAGAAATATACGAAGTTTGAAGTGTTTAGTTTAAAAATGAAAAAAAAAAAAAAACTAGAGAAACAATGAATGATTCCTTGATATCCTTTATCTTAAAAGAAAAGAAAAAACATTTAAACTATTTATAACATATGTAATGTGCAACAAAAAGCAATTTTTTATTGCAATGAAGCGCTTATAAATATATCTTTATAAAAAAAGCAGGAAAACATTTATGTACCGATGTATTAAGGTATAACAATGAAACAAATCCAATCCAACTAAAATAAATAATTTAATGTAATTAGTTTCCTAAGATTAACAACCAAATTGTACAACTCTCTGAAAAAAAGTGTCTACAAATGACAACAACAAGAAGAGCTAACATTGAAAACGAAAATTGGTCACTAAAATTTAGCCAAGAAAAATTCCAAAATATTTTTAAAAACGTGTTATCTGCTTTCGATGTTTAATATTTTTGAAAAAGAAACATTGTATTTTTATGCTCTACGCTCTCTGTATTTTCTGCTTTATAAGCTTTTTGGTAAATGGACTAACCACAACTTTAATATGGAATTTTGGTATCTTCAAGATCGAAATCTTCTCTGCCTGTCTCTTCCTTTCTCTACCCTTCCCTCTCTTTCTCTCTGCACACAAAGCTAAATGTTAGTTCTTGTTGTTGTCGTTTTTACAGGCGCCACTCTAAACACGGACATTGGTCCCGATTCCGAGGCCCAGATCCATCCGGAATTCAACGACGACGAGGAGCTGGATGGTCGCGATAATGGCGATGAGCATATCGATACCACCCAGCAGTCGGAGGAGGCCACGCCCCCCGTAACCGATAAATTGGAGACGCAAAAGAAGGCGGATCTGAAGAAAAGTGCGGCGGCCACAGCGGCAGCGGTTATAGCCGCTGGAAATGGCAGCCAGCACAGTTTAAATGGCCTCGAGGCTCCCAAGCCGCCAAATACTTCCGTTTAAGCCGCCCACCGCCCCATGATTCCCAATAAATGGGCGTGGCTCTTGGCCAGTTAGCTGTGTGCCCCATTTGCTTAAAGCAAAAGGGAAAAATGAAACAAAAATAACGCCTAAATAGATATCTCCTTACCACACGTTTGCTCTCAAATATTTGCTCTCTCATAAAGAATAATATAAACGAAAAAAATCTCAAAAAGCGCGCAAAAAAAAAAAGAATAAAACTTATATAATCTTACTTTAAAGAAAACAAAAGCAACACCTTACCTTAGGCCAAGTAATTTTAAGTGACCAATTTTCGAAAACCGCGAATCTCGCAATCTTTAAATTTTACCTCGTCCACTCGAATATAACTAAAATGAAACATAAAACATATACTATAAATAATAAATCAAAAAAGTCCAATTTATTGTATTATATTTTGTCCAGCAATATTGATTTTCATCCATGTATTTATTTAAGCTATAAGAGCTGCCAGCATTTTGCATTTTCTAATTATTATTTTGTGTCGATTGGCTAATCAATCAATTTAAACTTGGCAAGCATAACAAATTAGAAAATTAAACATGCCTATGATTTATTTTAATTAGTTATCCGCTTCACACATGTGTTTTTTCTGTTCTTTTGTAGTTTTAGTAAAACGAAAAAAATAAACAGAAATGTGAAAAATATAAATTTGTAATGTTGCAACTGTGTTTGATGTGGCTTAAATGAAGCTGATGATGATGTTGTTAGGTGGGGTACTTATTCGAATATCCATTAATCATGACATTCCTTTTTATTAAGTATGCAAATGATTCTGCAATAATTGTAAATATTATTAAATCAATTTTTTTTATTTTCTCTACACAGGAAAATCAATCAAGACGCCCACAAACGAAACGTAAGTACAGTGAACCCTAACTTCAGCCTTAAAAATGTCAAAATAAGTTCAGAAAAGTGCAAAAATAAATGGGGCCAGTCCATAAATACATAATTTGTACCCATGGATCCACAACTAACCCGTCGACGGTATCTGGTTTGCTTAAATTTGTTTAATTTTCAAAGCCATTAATCTGTTATCCATTACTTTAATAGTGCGTAGTTCGGATGTGTGTTTGTTTGTCTACTTGCATGTGTCTCTTGAGTGGCTTTAATTTTCGTACTTACATTAACCGTATGTCAAAAAGCAATCATCTCTAGATTTAGAAGCAGCTCATTCTCATCCTAGGTTAGTTCATAGTCCATTTATAGTAAAAAACGTTAATTTAAGCACACGCATAAACATAAACACACAATACACACACATTGCTAAAGTCTCGTGTTTCGTCTTGTATTTGAAAATTCTTGAAATCTGAAACTCGAAATTTAAATTCCATAAAAGCAAAATCAGTTTCAAATAGTTGTCACGCTGTCACACACACACACACACGCACATACCATACACATATTATACACTCCTGAACTTTCACATTAAAACGCTCGCTAGTCGCTCTGCCACGCCCACTTTGCTCGCTCGCCCGCCCACCAGAAAAAGATGAAGTCTCTGTCTCGCTCTGTCTCTCTCTTACCCTCTGAAAATCATAAAACTCTATTGCTCTGTCTCACGCATTTACTAAAAATGTCAGAAATGTCGCTGTCCAAAGTCATTCAACCAAAATATAATAACTAGAAGCAAACAAATGCATAGAACAAAAAAAAAATAAAACTCTATAGTGTTAGAGCCACTTTGCTAATGCATCACAAAAATAATATAATAAAAAAAAACCAAACCTCAACCACAAAAAAAGAAACGAAAACAAACTTCTTGCTATGTTTTGTCTTCTTCTTCTACTACTTTCATATGGACAACAAACAACGCCAACAACACAACGAAAACCACTGAATAAAATGTGTGAATTACCCACAAAATTTCTAAACCACTGAAAAAAACTGAAATCTTGAATATTAAATTCAAACATAAAATGTAAAAACACAATTTTATTGAAATATTGTCGAAAAATATTTTAAACTAAAAAAAATTCTTGAAAACTTTTTAAAATAATATCTATATCAAAAACATTACTGAAAATCTTAAAAACTTTTTAAATTCACAAAAAAAATCTAAAAATATTATGTAATACAAATAAACAGCCAGAGTGATAAGCAACTGGAGTTGGAAACCCAACAGCAACATGGTCAAAATGTGGCACTTTTGGAGACCCCAAATGGTATTACCCTGTTGGGCGCCAACAAATTACGTGAGGCCAATGGAAATGGACACGATCGTCTGTCGGTTGAAAGAAGGCATCACGATGAAGACGATAGCTTTGAATATGGCACGGATCGTGAGAGCAGTGTCTATAATCCCACCACACGGCCCCTGAAAAGTATTTTGATGAGTCAGGCGGCAGGTCGCAATTCCCGGCACTCTACCAGCGACAAGGATGATGGCAATGAGAATGCTGATCTGCTGCAAAAGGCTAATCAACTGGGCATTCCCGAATCGCGTTTTTCGCGATGGCTGCCCAAGGATCAACGCGAGCTAATCGAAAAGCAGGCGATGTTACTTTCGGGAAGGGCCACGTCCAAGGCGCCAGCAACACCACCCAAGCCGCAGAGACCCCAGATCGGAGGGGCAACAAAAGCGGCAAATTCCACAAATTCTCAGACGACGACGACAACAACGACGACACCGACGACGCCAAAGTTGCCACAGGAAACGGAAATCTGAGCGAGTGCACGTGTGTTTGTGTGCGCGTGTGGCATTCATATTTATTTATTTCTCCTTTTTTTGGGTACAGGAAACGCGCAGCAGGATTAGGGACGGAGCAGTTTTGCGGCAATCTGAAAAATGTAGGGAACGCAGCCATAAGAGTCAATGACATTTCAAGAATTAAGTGTTAGAAAAATCAGTTAATTTAATCCTTAAATGTGGTAAAGTAAAAGAGCGGCCTTCTATTATGAAACAGAAATTAAATATCAAAGTGTAATAAGCATAGGAATTTTGGGCAATTTTAAATTGATCCAAAAACGATTGCTTTTGATTTGTAAACAAGTTTTTATGTTTCCATTTTTTTTAAATCACTTGAGCTTTCCATAGCGATCATAAATATATTAGGTAAACTTAAATAAATTTGGCTCAATCAATATGATAATACCGGCTGTAATAACTAAAGGTTACTTACACAATAATTAGGCCATCTTTCCTTACTAAAGACTTAAAATTTAATATTAGAGCCAACTTAAGTTTACAGAGCTTTGAATTGAACTGCATTCATCACCCAGTTAGCTTTCCAACAATTTTAAAGAATTCAATCGCAAAACTGACTCCAAAATAGTCTTTAAGCTTTGTTTTAACACACAATTTCATTTCATAGAGATTGAAGCCGGCATGAAATTAAGTTATTATCGAATAATCGAAAAAGTTTGCATGGCAAGCATGAAGCGAAAGATCATTGTTTTACACCAATATTTATTGTAGTCACTTTAGAACAAAAATCATCAAGTGAGATATATGCGCCTCAAGAAAGGGTTCGACTTAAGCCGCGCACACTGTACTTTAAGAGCAAAAATAAAATTCTTCTTGTTTTCGATTTTTTGTTCGAGTGGACAGGACCTTAAACTTTTAAGTAATATTTAGAAATTTAAAACAAAAACGACATAATGTAGTTAGGATCTTTTGATACAATTTGTTTGTCCTTTATTATTTTTTACAAAAAGTATGTTTAATAATTAATTAACAACAATAAATATTGTTAAAATTGAGATGAGTTTCCTTTTTTTGGATTTATTACTTTTGCGAATGCCTGAATATGTGTGCTTGTGTGATTTTTGAAAGGGATTGTAAAGGAAATTCCTAACAATGCAGCATATCAAAGAGGAAACGCTCCGTACAATTTAGCATTTTCCATAACAAAAGAAATATCATTAAAATATGAAAGCAGCATTTCATGCCATAAACATTTCATATATGTATATATATGAGGGACTAACACGCCACGCCAAAAACCTATACAAATACAAGCACGAACACATAGACACGGCACACACAGTTAGGACAATTTATCCACCAGATACTTGTTGAGCTGGCCCAGACGGCAGGCAGACATTCAAATGAGCCAAAAATATTTATAGAATATAGATGGAACTCATTTTAGCCAAGTGAAAGCAATTTACTTGGTCAGCCCATGTTAAACAAAGGTTAACGTGTGGGCAGAATTGGGTTAAAGGTCCAAAAAAGGTCAAATGAGAATTAAATATTCCATATGGCATGAGCTACGGGTATTAGGTGAAGAATAGGAATTGTATTAAAGGCCATTGTTATAGTATATTATAAACAGTAAATATATTTTGATATGTTTCTTAAAAGTTCAGGTTGGGCTCCAAAACTTTAGCTTTTTTGGAATTCTTTTATAACATGTAAGGAATATAATTCAAACTAAAAAAAAATTATACAAAAATAAGGAATACTTTAGTTATTTTATCTATGTTGAACATAAAATATTGATTATAACATAATTTGTCGGGAACATTTTAACAAAGTGAGCTAAAACTACCTCCGAAACGTTCACTTATTAAACTTAATGCTTTCAGGTTATTTTCAAAGTACAGTTCCGAATTAAATGAGATTAAAAACTTTTCCCCTCGAATATTTGCTTTTCCTAACACAATTTGGGTTTTAATGGTGCCACACACGAACAACAATAACAATTACGCAATTACCAAAACACAAGTTCTTAAGCCCACTAACAACTGCCAGATAGGACACTTTAAATAGCGCAGAGAGCTGCCAACAAATGACTTCTAACCACACGACTAACCCCGAACACTTTGATGGCCATCTTTTGTTAACTTATTTTTCCGGAAAGAAAATTCGCACACCAGCAATTATTTTGACACAGTAATGAGTAGCAAAAAAAATAAGCAAAAAATATATATAAAGCAAAAAGCCAAAAATTTTCATACAAAAATCAAAATCATGAACCCATCCAAAAACCTCCCAACAATTTCACAACCGACAAGCAGCAGCGACACCGAAAGCGCCGATATTAAAGCTACCTCAACGGCCACGGCCACAACGACGATGGGCGGAGTGGGCGTGTCGGCCGAGGATGAGGAAACCGTTAACGAACAGGAGAACCCACAGCAACAACAACAACAGCAGCAGCAGCAGCAGAAGAAGGCCAAGAAATTGCCGGCTTTTGCCGCGGCAATTTTAAAGCGTTTCAACGAAAAGGATTCGAGGAAGTACAAGGATAACCAGGAGTCGATGAATATCGTGGAGGCATGTGAACAGGAGAATCCGGCAGGCAACAATGCCATCGATGGCAATGACAATGAACCAAAGGTATTGAAAAATATCCCAGACACCGTCCTTTTCTCTTTCCATCTTCTCTGTCTTTTCCTGAGCACACAGAAAAAGTATCATCAAAAATGTTCAGACGAACGATATTTTTGTACATTCAAATTCCGAAGTATCTGTAGGAAAATACTTACATTTTTTAATATAAAAATGATAAATTAAAATATTTACATTTCATTTTAAAACGATATATTGATATTAACATATGATACATATGTTGTTTTAAATCCTTAATATGATTGCATACTTTTAGGCAAATTTTGTTTATTTTAATTTTTACATTTTAAAGTACGATTTAATCAATAAAACAATTTAAATGATTTAAGTATGCATTCATATATTTTATTTTAAACATTGCTGTGAAGACTTTGTTTAATACAACGATTACAGCTCGAGATCTTAGTTAAAATTCTTATTCATATTTGCTATTGACACAATCAAAACGACCAAAATTTGGGATGGTAAAATGGTAGTTGATTTTCCGTGATTATTACCTTTGTGTGTGCGTGTGTTTGAGTGCAAGCTGTATTTACCTTTAAGCTTAGCATAGTTACTTCATACTTAGACGCAAGCTTTGAGCAAACAAACAAATTCCTTTTTTTATAATTTCCTTTTTGCTATTATCACAAATTTATCTACATAATTTTCTTTGCTATTTTCTGCTCTTTCCGTTAAAAAAAAAAACCAACCGCATGCAAAATAAAATCCGTTGTTGTATAACTTTTGTATATATACGCAATTAAAGGCTATAGTTTGGCAGAGCACCTCACCAGTGTGGACATTTAAGTAAAGCAAAGCAAAAAGCAAATAATAAAGGTATTTCAAATTTCCCCTATGAAAAGCCTTTAAACTGAAATCTCTTTAATATTTAATTTAATGAAACAAATACTTACGAAAACATTTATTATCTATTTCAAAAAAAATCTTAGCAAGACAAACAACTCGTCTATGCTGAACTTGTACTAAAGCCAGCAAATGAGACAACAACAACAGCAACACCAGCACCCACAACAACAACAACAACAGCAGCAACAACACCTGAAGGAACTGGAGTTGGGGCTAAAAGTTCAACGGAATACGCAGAAATCGTCTATGTGCAAAAGGGAGGCGAAAACAAAAAATAATCTAGCCTAACAAGAAAAAAAAAACCCTGGGAGGCTGACACAAATAAAACATAAAAATGAATGCACAAAAATTAAGGAGCAGCAAAACAAAAACCCAGTGCAGCATAAACATAAACTTTACAATGATATTAAGAATGCAGAAAAAATAAGAATAAAATGTCTTAAGTGGTTTTTCAAAAACTTCTTGAATGTGTGTACTAAAATCTAATGAAATGTGAAACTAAAAGCATAAAAGCAAAAGCGAAAAAATAAACTTATACAAAATAAACTTAATTCTCCGCACAGAAATCTTGACACAAGACACACTCCCTAAATATGTACCCCTCCTCCCTCAGCCCACACATTAAATCAAATTTACAACAAGATAAAAATGTAAAAGAACCTTAAAAAAGCTAAAAGAATATTTGCAAACCAACTATATATAAATAAAATTTACATAAACATAGGCAAGAGAAAAAAAAACATTTGAAAATCTCAATTATTTACATAAATGTCTCGCATTTAAGCTAAATGTAAATTTAAGACAAGAAGCAAAAAAAATATAAAAACTATGCAAAATTTAAGTAAACTTATTTAGAGAAACCTTAAATTATTTTTACGCAAGCTTTTTTGTACACATCGCCGTTTTGAATATGCAAAATTAGTACTGTAACATTTTAGGCATCCAGAGAAAAGCATTTAAACAAATTAATAAAAAATAATAGGGAAAAAAATTTACCGAACATCTCTTGCAACTGAAAGTATTCTATCATTATTAATTTTGTTTTTCTTGTCTCTTAACGATGTCCATCCATTTTCCATACAACTGGCAATTAATGTTATTATTTAAAACCATTTAAGCAATTACGTATTAATTGATAATTGACTAAGTTAAGTGCATAAATTAATTACAATGTACTTTCATGATGATGATTGATTTTTGTATTTTGTAAGTTATAATTTGTATAAAGTTAAGCAGAACAACAAACTTTTTTGAATAAAATTCTTTACCATATGAAATGGGTGTATTTTTCAATTCAACTTACATGGAATAAGCGATTTGCAAATATAATAAAAGTGGTAAGTATTTTCCTTAAAAAAAAAAATAAAATTTTAAAATATTTTTTTTTATCAATTTTAAAGGTCGAGTTTTTTTGTTGTTTAATTAAGACCAGACAGCAAAATTCGATTGTCTTTGCTAAAATTCGCCTTGTTTAATAAAATATCAAATTAACAACAACAGAGTTAAAAGTACAGTTAATGCATAAGGCAAAATTTCTGTTTGGCATATTTGTTAAGCACTTTCATCACCGAAAAGCTAAACACGACAACGACAATTACACTAAATAAAAGCACACTTCTGATCCGATCTGAAACAGAAAGAACGATAATCATGTCGCATTATTCATAGCCGCAATGCCATTTTTATATTTTCGCTAATGCCAAAAAAAAAGGAGAAATAATATTATTAAAATATGGCAAAGTTTTGCAGTTGACTCGGCTCTGTCTGCTGGAAAATTTTGGTATCTGGCTGTGGCTGCTTGTCAGTCAGTCAGTCAACTGCTCGGTACTGCGGCTCCCTCAACTTTTTCTGACATTTCAATTTATAAAGCTCAAAATCTGCGCGTTACCCGAAGCGTCGCATTTTACATTAGACAAAAACAGAGAAAATCTCGTATATTTTAGTTTCGCCAGTTCTAGGGGGCTGCTTTTTTTTTCAGCATAGTCCGCCGCGACAGCTTAAAAGTAAAATACAGTTTTGCAGTTTTTTTCCTTTGTTTTATGCCCAAGGCAGTACATTGAGAGTGACTTGAGGGAGAGCGTATAAAATGGAACTTTCAAGGCTAGTACAATGCACTCTCAACAAAATGGCAGATTGGGCACTATTATATATATATTTGAGTAGAAAATAAGAAAAATAGACTGCATCTGTTCCAGCGTAAGTTGTAACTTATGACAAGAGCCTATCTCATATTCTCAAACTTGTTTAAAATTCCTAATTGATATTTTTGTTTCCAACAATATATTATTTTCTATTATGAAGAAAAAAATATGTCTATTGTATGGCAAGCGATAAAATCCAAATTACTCTCTTTTTTGTACACATTTAAGATTTTTTTTAATTACTTTGGCTTTCGACTTTTTGCAGGGCTGAGAAGCAATTGTTTTCTATTTCCTTAGCTTGTTAAACATAGTCAAAATTCGCCTTTAAAAGGATGTTTGCAAAATGTTCAATTCAATTTCAGATCACTTCAATTTAGCCACCTATAATCTGTATCCCGACCACAAGGCATTTTGTT